CGCCAGGCTGGTCGGGGGAAGAGGGGGTGGGCGGGGGGACATCGGGTGGGTGGCTCGAGCCGTGCCAGGTACAGGGTCTGCTAGCTGGGTGCTGGCAGGCTTGCACCTGGCACGGGCACCGTAGCCAGCCCGTGCCCCTTTAAGAGGTCCGGGGCTGGGAGGGGGGCAATAGAGTTTCCCTGGTGTTGGCCAGAGTGGCCACCAGGGAAAGCTGGGGAGGGCTAGCCTCCCACTAGTTCGAATTAAGGGGCTACACACCCCTTAATTCGAACTAGTAAGTTCGAACTAGGCTTAGTCCTCGTAGAATGAGGTTTACCTAGTTCAAACTAAGCGCTCCGCTAGTTCAAATTAAGTTCGAACTAGCGGAATGCTAGTGTAGCACCTATCAAAGTTAATTCAAACTAACGTCCGGTAGTTCGAATTAACTTTGTAGTGTGGACATACCCTTAGTTATCTGCTGCAGAAGAACTGGCATGTGAGTCTCAAATGTTTTTGTTATTGTTTTGGCTTTTGTTTGTTTTATAGGTTGTAGAAAAGGTGTGTATGATGGGGGATTCTGTAAAAGCCTTCTTTTTAAAGAGGTTCAGATTCTAGGCCTGAACATTTCTGTGCCCTGTTAAAGGCTCTCATTTTCTGCAGTATCACATTGTCTCAGACATGCAAGAAGAAAGATAAGACATAAGAACTGAGGTTTAATCAGGCCATAACTTTATTAATGTAACTTTATTAATGTGAGCTATATGGAAATAATTTGTACAGTGCAATCTTTTCAATGTGGTGAACTATTGTCACCCCTCCAAAGCTCTCATACTGTAATGGTCGTGGCAGCGGTGGGCAATAATTTTTGAAAAGGGGCCACTTCCCCCAGTTTCCGAAGTGGTCATGCAGCCTTGGGCAGAAAGGGCAGGGCATCTGGCAGAAGGGGCAAGGCCTTTAAATAGCAGGACTTGAAAGGGCTTGCTCCTCCCCCGTGGCTCCCAGGCAACATGTTAACGGTGGATCCAGCCTGCTGGCAGCCTCTTGACCATCTCTGGCCTATCACCTTCTCATGTATGAGGGTTAAGGGGCTGAGGAAAAGGAGTCATTTCCTCATTGTATCACACATTGGACATATGTCCTTGTTCTTCAGCTGCTTTGGAGAATGTCCTCCCCCAAGTCCACTTATAGTTCTAGCGTATTAGGGAACACAACCCCTATTAAATGAGGCACCAGCAATTAGTTTGGGTGACTTCGCTCCCGCACTGCCAGATTCTCAGATTAATCATTCCTTCTGTAACAGAGCCCAAATCCGATTTCCTCCCCAGTTAGAAGGACTTATCATTTCTTCCAACTCTAGTATTGGTTATACAATTTTTCAGTGGGACAATCATCAACCTTTCTTACTCCCATAATTTGACCACTTGCCAATTTACCCCTCTCGTGCCTTGTCTACTTGTGTGAAAGCCTTCCATTTTCCCTCCAAACCCTCTGCTGTGGCTTCTCACACCAATTCCCTCCTGACTTACCTCCTGAACTTTGTCCTTATCCCTCTATTGAAACTCCAGATGGTTTCCCCTACCTACACACTAATCCAGTGGTCACCAACCAGTAGTTTGGGATCTACTGGTAGATCTTGGAGCCTCTGACAGGTGATCTTGACTGGTTTGGCCAAGAGGCTACCAAGTGCTGTCACTTCAGCTGGCCCTCCCACCACTGCCTGCACCTAGAACCCCCTCCTACATCCCCACTGTCTGCCCCAAGGTCAGATCAGAGCCCCTCTCACACTCCAAATCCCTTAATCCAAGACCAGAGTCAGCACCTCAACTCACTGCCCCTGCCTGGTGAAAGGGAAGGAGGATGGGGAGGGAGGGAGAATGAAGTGAGCAGGGGAGGGGTCTCAGAGAAGGGTCAGGAAGGAGGCGGTGCAAAGGTATTTGGGTTTGAGGTAGATCTTGGATTGCACTTAAATTAAAGAAGTGATCTCATGCTTGAAAAGGTTGGAGACCACTGCACTAATCCATTCATGTGGCCCTCCCTACCAATGAACATATAAGAAGCATATACTTCCCTCCAAATGTGCTCTTCCAGCCAACTAAGAGAACTAAGAGCTGTAGTTGGTCCATCACATAATGACACACAGACTATAGAGAACAGGCTTATATGTCATCCTTATGTTGTTGCTCACAAGATATTGGGCTTCTACAGAGCTTCTGATTCCCGAGTGCTAAGCTAACCTCCTTACCCCTGATCACATGAAAGGGCAGGGGAGGACCGGATTCTCTCCCTTAAAGGGGCCTCTTTTCCCATACAATAAGACTTCTGCTTCTGAGACTCGGGATGCATTACTCAATGCTATTTTAATACCTTGAAAATGTTACTACTTTTATGATTGGCAGATATGAACAATCTGTCTTATATTTTTTCAACATGTCTACTTAGAGCTATGCCTTTAATGAATTAAAATTGTACTTAATTTCTTGAATTAGAAAGAATGGTAAAGGCAAGTTCTGCCAACAGTTAATGGGTTTGTTCTGGGTCTGTAGATGAGAATTCCTGAGGATAGCAGAGCACTGGGGAGTCGTATTATGGATGTAGGCTTGTAAAGACTAGTCATTCTACAGCTCAGTCCTTCCTAGTCAATAATAGCATAGGGAATTCCATAATAGAAAAGTGCATGAACTGCCCTGAGGCTTTAGTGTACAATACCCCAGTGCTTTGACTCAGGCAATTCTATTTCAGAATTTTCATAGACATGAAGGACTTTGGACATGTGAGACACTTAAAACACACACCTTTAAGAATATTTAAATTGTTAATTGGGATTATTTTAAATACTACATTTATGGGTAAGAACCCATTTTATTTGGGTACAAATTCAGGAAGTGTCCACTTATGGTGGTCCATAAACTGTCCACTTATGGTGTTGCAACCTGAAAATTAAAAGTAAGACTCTCTCTAACACAATTATAAACAATGCAAGTAGAGATAGTTTTAATAATATATATTTTTTCCATTAAATCAACAAGAGCGATAAATAATTTTGTAGTATAGATGCAAATTAAATATAAAAAAACATTAGAAAGTATGCAAAAATGATCCTGCTTTAAAATATTGGTTTTGAGTTCCATTTTGTTTTAAGCACAAGTATATGCTTTTGTTGAAAGCATAAGGTCAGATTTTCAAAGTACCTAATACATTTGGTTTCCCAAGTCAGTAGCTAGGTTCTGATTTTCAGACATGCTGATGACCTGCAGCTGTACTTGTGTAAAACAAGTATTGGGTATCTGAAGATGGAAAATTTTTGCCTAGGATTTTGTTTTGTGTTGCAGTAGAATGTTGGTGAATATTTGCATTGGCATTTGTTTAATAATTTCAACTAATTTAAAGGCTCTGCATAGGTGTTTTCCTTGATTGCT